CTGTTGAAGTAGTATTATTGCCGCACAGGCTGGTAGCTTGGGCTACTTTATTTAAGGCTGAATTAAGTCTGCACCTAGTATGTAAATTCCAATAGTAAACGTTGAGGTTTTGCCCAAAATGTATATACTACAACGGAGATATGAAATACAGTTACAGTCGTAAAAACAAGCTAGAATTATTAGGCGACGGATTATCTCTCTACCAATAAGTGCAGTTACACTATAAAAAAATAACGAAAACTCTCTATAAAATGCTAGTGTCAGTAAAAACCGTAGGAATAATATAGTGCAGTATAATGTAAGAATACATGTCTCTATTCCTGTGACAGATGCGCATAGATGATGAATACGTTAAGTAAGCTGAATCAATCCCTTAGCAACATCCTCTAGTTGTGTCTTTAGGACCTCCAACTAGATTAGGCGCAAGATGAATGTTTTTTATACCAGGTCGTTTAGGGTCTAATATTTGTTCATTATTAGTAATAGAGACGACTACTACGAAAGGCTTAAGCCAATGCCCCGCGTCCTTAGACCTCCCAGCACTGGCGCGGGTCTGAGCCTTTTTTTTCGGTATCGCTTTTGTTTGCTATATATAGCAGTTGTGGTTTGCGCAGTTGGAGAACAAGTTCAAAGGCAGTCTCGGTCGCGTCCTTCCGTCAACTGCTTTCCGACTACTAGAAACACATGGGACGAGTAACAAAGCTGACCCAAGGTCAAGTGTCTCCAGACGCTAGTATCCGTGACCTACAGCATATCTGTCGAACTGTGCGCGATCTTTCCATCCATCAGATGAATGACAGTCGGGATCGGTTGTATTTCGTGCCTGACGGGCCAGAAGCAGGTAAATTCACTCTTCACTCTGCTTGAATTTTCAGGTGGTTCGATCTCTTGAATATCAGTGGCGTGATGCGGTGAGTATTTTATGGAGATGACGATGCGATATAACGACCGTAGCATCGGGGCCTTTAAGCTCAAAGAAAGCGTTGATTCCGGTGTGCCGACTGACTAGAGTACCGAAAAGGGTAAGAAAAAGGCGGGAAATAGACGCCGGCAGTCGGGATTCGAACCACAAAAAGCGTCTGCCTCTTCTCACGTGCCAATCAACTCCACTAAGTAACAAACACTTCCTGAAGCTAAAAAAAATGCAACAACGATAACTTATGCTACGTAGTTACTTTAACCATAGTTCGCTAAAAATAGATCTTTGTTACATTGTAATGATTTTCATGTATGTTATGATATCGTTTCTTTATGAGTCAACATTGTAGTCACTTTTAAGTAATTTAAGGAGTTAACTTTCACAATTCTTATTGAGTTTTCGGCTTTACGGCTTAATAGGCAAAATTGCGTGCTCGCCTAACTATGCGCTTAGGATCACCTTAAAGCTTTGTTCATGCTTCAAAAGTACAATTTGATGCTCCTGTTGTGACTGTTATTTCCCTTAAGTAAGGGCAATAAGTATCCATATGTACATATTTGATTTGGAATTTGCCCCAACTGCGTACGAGTGTGGCCTTACATGCGACAGAAAAAAAAAACGAAAAATAAACTCATTAATAATAATACCCTTCACAGTAGAGCAACTGGATCATAGTTGGGGATCTATTAATTGATATGTAGTTTTATGATTCGGATAGTGAGAGATTATCCTATCGGTCTTTTTATTTTATGAAAATATTGTACAGAATGATACTGTCAGAATAAAATAACTATATTAAACATACATTTTGTTTATGCTAAATAAATAAATGCGATAGATTAATGGTAATGCGTTCATCATCACCAACTCGTTTTCTTTCGTTTACACTAGAAACGAACCCTTCAAGCCACTTGAAGTCATTTGGACAATATGTCGTATTAAAATAAATCATCATAAGGTAATGCGCGACCGTTTATCTCGTCACTTGAAATCTAGAGTTATTATATATAGATACTTTTGTATGGCGTATTCGCTTTTTGATATAGTTTTGGCGGCTCCCATATTCAAGCCCTTCGGGGCTATGCAGCTATGTAGTAGGAGGATTTGGGCCGGCCGGCGACATCTCTATACTTCTAAAGTAGTCCGTTGGAATTGCCGGCATGAAATTTCCAGTGTCAGATTGTGGACGGCCCCCTCGATGGTCTTCGAAGAGAGAGCTAAATTTGTCGAATCAGCTTCGGCACAATCGTTGGTCGAAAATAGTACACAAGAATTGTATTACGATATTTAACATGTTTTGTAAAATAGTTCCTATCTTGGCTTTGTATATTTCGCTGTATAATATGACAGTATAAAAAAGAAAGCTCACGTGCGATTCTTAGATATTGAAGGACTGGTTATAAGAATTTTGAACTAGGCAACCTTACCTAGCGTGGCGTTTAATGTCGAAGGATTTTGCTATCCTTTCAACTTGCTTAGAGCAAGTATATCCCACTAAACGTATATTTGATCGGATGGTGCATTTTGTTGATATCTATTTAAGTATCTTTATTAAGAGTTTACTGAACTTTGCAAAATTACTGTGCAGGATGGTGCCGTGATGAGATTCAATTTTTTTCCATGAAACGGCAATGCTAACTTATACTTATTTTTGTTTCAAATCTGAGGAAAGCCGTTTCGTGTTAAAGTGAATTTTCTTTGAGGTGGACTTTTCGCCCAGAATAGAACTCACTGAAGGGGGTTATAGATGCATTTCCGACAAAATTTCGCTATTCGTATAAATACAGAACCGTACAATATAATGTGCAATAGTTGTGTAATTTCGGATCAAAACCCACCAACTGAATATCCACCATCATTTTAGTTACTTTTAACCACTCTCACTGTAATTCTTGCGGTATATGGAGCATTTATGGGTGGCTCAAGCAGACATCGTCTGCAAGAATTACATTGAACTAAAGATACCGTCTAGCAAGACGTTTTTTACCCATCTTCTTCGCATTACACGCATTCTCCCTTTCGAGTTAAAATATCCGGTGCTACCGTCTTAGATAACCATCGTTTTAGATAGTTGGCAGTCCAGCTCAAAACAAAATATGCCTACGCCAGGTTTCGAACCTGGACCACCCTATGCGTTTTTCATTCCACTAACCAAACACTGCTAGGTCGTCGATAGTTCTTCCCCTGTACCGATGCTTTTTACCAATTATTAGGCGAATTGAAGATTTAGCTGCTTCTCGTAGTGGCCTGTTAGCGTTGGTACAGACGTGCTTATATACGATCCCGTACACGTGAGTTACCTGAAGGTTACTTGTAGCCTAAACGAATCTTGGGATGAATCTAACGGTGTTTTCGCTAGGGCAGGACGTAATTTAGGTATGAGTTCTTATCAAATTCGACATTCTATCATAATCATAATATCTACTATAATAATAGTGATAATCATATCACGAATGTCATCATTCTAAAAATAGGTCGTGCGATTTTTTTTTGCATCTAGCTTTGGCATTAGGAGAAAACGCAACGTTGAAAACGAGAAGTGTGGAAAAGAAGCTCTATGGAATTTAATTTAATATGAAGGAAAAAATCATAGTTTTGAGGCGGCTCAACAATGATTGAGCGTTTGTGAGGTACATAGTGATGCAGTTCTCCGGCCTTATACAACGGACGTAAAACCATACCTTTAAACGTTTTCTGTTGACGAGTTGAATCTACTTTAGCTTAATATTAAGATATGTCATTGAGAAATATTGGTTCTTTGATTCATAGCTTTCTCAAGTAATCCAAAAAGGATTGAGGGTTGCGGAATATTGTAGGAGCGTAACGAGCAAACGGTAGCACAGTGTAATACACAATGATTTAGGTATGATACCGAAATACCTGGGTCGAGGCAATGGAATAAATAAATGTTTTGAACATTGCGTTTGGTACATTTTAAGGACTATTTTAGACTACCGCCTTGTGCGACGAAATCGACTGTGTTTGTAGCCATTTTTGAATTTAGACCATCTTGCCGAGCAGGTCTGTACTTGCTTTGGGCCGGACTGAACGGGTAGCAAGGTCTTGTTAAGTAATACTCGACATGCATAGTTTGTATGAGAAAGACCTAAACAAGCCTTTGGTGTTTACAAGGAAAGGTCGGCCAACGATGCATATGCATTATGGGGTAATCATAAGAGTGACCTAAGCATTCAGACTAATGAAACCCATTCTAGAGGAATGGTGGCTGATGCGTTAAGCACCTAACCTAAAGATCACACTGTATCCGTATAGTTGCGTACAGCAGTATGGATGATCACTACAAAAAAAAAACCCTGTAATAAATTTCCACCTTTTCTACTCAGAAAATATATCTAGGTGAATCAGGCCGGCGCGCACCAAGGCAAAATAAAGATTGTAGGAACTGAGGCTTGCGTCCTCTACATCTAAGCCAATGTCTCTTCTATTGCAAGAATGATTATCGTTTAATATTTGTCATTCAGATAAAAGCCATTATCTACACTGTGGAAATAACTGTATCCGTTACCGTTCTCCACTAACTACTAGAAAAAGTCATACCCATAACGAGATTACATGCGGATGAATATTTCGTAAAGGTTATGTGTTTCTTGCATTTATAAAGTGATCTGCGCTTCCTACAGAACAGGTACCTATCGAGACTAAATGGCAGCCACTACTCAACTTGTGCAGTGACGATACTCATTGTATCCCCGCTTGAATTAAAGATCGTATCAGTCATACGCAAGGTTCTCACATACACTGTTCTGCGATTTCCAGCCCTTACGCGAAACGCCGTTAAGCAGAAGTAACTATTTTTACGATCGCTGATGCCAGACCTAGCTTCATTAACGCTGCTGGACTTTAAAAAAAAAAAATAAAGAAGCCATGATACGCGTATTGAGCTTAATGAATAAAAGCAAACTTTTCTTTTGCCTCAACGTGGATTGCACGTAACACGAAGACTACGTGCAAGAGAGTTGTGTCGATGAGCAGTATTTTGCGGTCTGCAATAGCAGACGCTGGCAAGAGGCAGACGTGCGCAAAGCAGTTATTGATCACGGTAAGGCAGGATCTACTCATACAAGCGACCTTCCGTAGGCTATTTGTCTGCGGAGCAGTACCTGATAGAGGCGGATAGAAGGTTTACAAATAAGAGTAGTGATGACTATGTACGTATTTCTTCACTTTTTTCGGATATATTGTATTGGCTAAAGAAGTTGTGCACAAACTGGCCAGTTTGTGCGTATGTATGCATTACTATGAGTATTTGTGTTTACTTGCTCGCGCCGATGTTTCCCACTGAACCCTAGTTGGCTACATAACGTTTGTGTATGATGCAGTTGGCGGTCGTCTCACAGAGGGTCCAATGCTGAGTCATTGGTGTCGATTTCCTTCGGCGAGCAATTTTAGCTTGAAGAGTGCTAGAATATAAAAGCTGGTACAAAGATTTGTATGATTCTTATATATATACTGCTGTGTTAAGTGTACTACACGCATAGCCCAACTAATGTTCACAAGAGCTTTTTGCTAATTTGTTTAGACCCTTCAAGTTACGACAATCGTCTATCCGCCGTGGTATATCGTCAACGTTGCGTGGCTGTGCCGTCCTTCTGCCACTTTGATAAAATGATTTGCGTGTTTCTTTCAAATACGACTTCGTGCTTGCAAATTGTGTAGTTTAATTGTAATGCAATGTGTGAAATGACGAGTATTCATGTGTCATCGGGAAAAAAAATATGGCGATCTGCGTCGTGGGGTAGTTAGTTATCGGTTGGATGATTTATCATTAGAGCAAAAGCTGATATAAAATTATTCATTCTACTTCTGGAAGCATTTAAAGAAGACGAGAAAGAAGCTGATTCAGTTTGTGTAGTGGTAGCTGTTTTCTTCACGTCGGTTTCAGGTTGTTTGTAGCTTAGAGAAACGTGCATTTTTTGACTCTTTCGCTATTCCAGCAGAAGTCCGGAAGAGCAGAATAGTCCCGGCTATGCGCGGTTCGTTAACGGTCTCCTGGACCAGATCGGCGATCACAATGATGGACAAACAAAGTCTTCTTTCGGGCACGATAGCGACAACGTCCCTTCAGATACTGAATATCCTGAAGACGACGCGTTGAACGACATCACCTTTGATAATATGCAAGTAAATTTTGGTTACAACGATATGGTGGAAGAAACTTTGGCTATGTCGAACAGGGCTCCAATTCAAAAGATCGAAACTGAGAAAACAAATTGCTGCGAGCCTCAGGGTCAGTCTCAATGGAACGGACAGCTAGCGCATCAATCTAACTGTCACCAGAAAGCAAAAATACTGGAAACTGACCGTTGCCCAACAAAGATTCATGAAGAGCTTGACCAGACCCAGTTGGATATAATCAAGACCAAATTGGCTTCTAATCGTATACAGCACATGTCGGACAAGTTTTCTAATGGCAACCATAGCTCAAAATCATTATCAGAGTCTGAACACGATTTGGACCATTTGATTGGCATACGCATCGTTGTTCCAATTGGCCACTGCTCTAACGTCGACCACAGAAATGAATTTATTCAAAATCTTTTTCAAAAAGTCCAGCTATTAGATCATCCATGGCAAAGAAAGGTCGTCCTTGGTAAGCTACCTGGTGAGTAATCCAACTATAGATAGTATTGCCTAGTCGTAGATCGTATTAGGATTGTCAAATCTTGCCCACTAAACAAAATACTATTGTTTGTATATCTAATATGCGTTTAGATTAGTACTGATCAGGTAAATTTAAAAATCTTTGAATAAAATTGGTGAAGACTTTACAGATTACCTCACTCGTGCACATAACTATAGTAGCTTACGTATTTTTGTGCTTTTCCTATAGACGATGTGTTTCTGTTCAACCTAACCGTTGAGGAAGCCACCATCATCCGATACTACATTCATAAGAGCTATCCACCCTTGCCAAAGCCACAAAATAGCACAGAGAAGCACGAAGAACGTGTGACCCAACTCGATGCCAGTTGTTTATTAAGCTTGAAGTATAGATCGTTTGTTACCGATGAAATTCTCCAAGCTATTGCCACCCATTGTCAAGGAACAGATAAAATGGAGATTTCATACGTAGTAAGTAAATAGGCAGCTTCTTCTACACCGTACGTATCAAGTCTGTATCGTCAATCAACGCTGTGAGCATTCCTGTAATCTATTCCTTTGATCACCTTTGTATAACTAGCTACTGAAGAAAGTATATGGTTAATTACAGATTTAGTTCATCGCGTAATTAAGAGTGGTTTATGGTAACGTAAGTGTCAAGAAGCCTAAAATCTTTTCGTATCGGAAAATTTACCGAAGACTAATACGCATGATTGTGTAAACTGCATAATTATGTTTTTTTTTCTGAAAATGGATCATCATTTATTTATCATCTAACATATAATTCTGCAATTACGTACCTGCGTTATTGTGTTCCAAACAGGAGCTGCGCAACAAAATGCAATTTCCCCTGACGATTGATCTTCCTATTGACTATAATCGCCTCATTGAGGTCAATCGGGCAGGCTTTTATGGTTTATTGGTTAAACGCGAAAAGGTGGCACCCCCAAACGAACTCGTTATCAAGCAAAACTATATAATGGTAACCGTCAGGTAAGGACGATTGTAGTGCGTTTTAAAGGGAGTGCTGGCTTGAAGTTATCTGAAATCGTTGACAAATAAACAATGGGACCAATTATTCATTTATTAACGTGTGCCTTCGAACACAATCATAACACACGCTTTAGTTGCGACTACACGTTCAGACACAAACAAATCGATCCGCAGGCTGATTCTAACGCGCATCTTTCCTACTGTATAATGACCTACGAAGCCTTCGGCGACTGGCTCCAATCGTACACGGCTTCCTGAATGCTGTGCAGAACTCTTACAACGGACGTAAATCCAAACTGACCGTTCCGCCCGTCGGTAAGAATTCAACATTAAAAATGGCTTTTCTGATTTCGAACAAAAGTTGGATGCTTACTCTCTAAAGAATTACGGGTGTGTAGCCAATACTATAGTTCAACCTCTAATAGCGTAATCTTTAGATCTTTTTCAAATATTATATCTTCTTGCTTGTTCTTGTTTATTTAACCTTGCGTTCGAGTGTTTAACATGTTATCATGTCGTATACGAATACTTTTTTTTAACAACCCTATCCTGCGTAGAACAGTCGCGCCCTACTACTATGTTATGTATTGTAGCAGTGTAGCATATGAAAATGTTATTTAAGCAAAATAATACGTCTACCAGATTCAACAAATAACGTATCAGTAGATTTTAATATATTCCTTCGTTTAGATATTTCCTTTTTCATAGTAGATATTTCTTTTTCTATAATTAACAATGATGTTGCGGTACTCTGAGTTTGTTTATCATCAATTTGCAGTTTTTATCCTTTTTTTTTACCATCGTCAGCTATAATCTATATAGTCTGGCAGAGAATTTGTAGCCAGCTAGCAAATTACGCCGACAATGCAAGTCGTCATTGTGCCGTAGTTTTACTCGCATACGAGATGTGATGTCTTTCCTACCGTACTAGAGAGCTATACTGCCTCTAGTGGAGTTGTTGTCAGTCACTGGGTTGCAACCATGGTCTCTGCATAGTTACGAACTGGTACCAATTACGTTTCGGATGTTTGTATCATTAGGGGACAGGAAACATGTCGCAATTTATCTAAACGACAAATTTCTCAAGGATATACTTAGTCTTATCGATAAAACGTACCCCCTACGTGAAAACCGTTGTGCTGCCATGCGAAGCATTAGTGCAAAGGTCACCGGAGAGGGACAAGCGAAACCGCTTGAGCATCTTGTAGCCTGCATCCCTGGTATTGAGGTGCGTCCATTAAATATGACCGAATAGACAATAGCAAAATTTCATCACGTTTATTAGTCTTGGTATAAAGTATCAAGCATTAGTCAATAAATTATGTCAAGGTTGATGCCTCCACCTTTTTTCGTTGAGGCTCAAGTGGAGTTCAGAAAGGCTAGACGTACACTAGAAAGCACAAAGCAAGATTTACGTTGTTTTTTAGTCACTATATGGTGGTAAATAGCAACTGTTACTAGTAGGCATAACTGCCCTGAAATACTAAATGTATATATACATATTTGGTTGTTTAGGTGGTTTGGTTGGCTGAAGGAAAATGTATTCGTAAATTAGAGCTAAGCAAACTAGAAGAAGATACTGAAAAAAAGAGTACATTCGAAAGAGAAAAACATCAAACTGATAACAACACGGCACAGGAGATCACCAAGACCCTGACCGCCATTCTTAAGGTATGGATATATGGCATAAATGGAAACATAACGCACACTCTCGTGTGCAGTAAGTTCTTGTTTATAAAGATTGCATTAATTCCCTTTCCATAGCAGCTCCTCTGCCGCATATTATTATGCTCTGCAATTGACTCAACAACTTCTTCCATAAGCTATGTTCTTACTTGGCTGTGCACGTTTGAAGGACCCAAAAAATCAGTACATGAGGTTCGCCGACCTCAAGAAGGAGTATCTAGCGAAGAAGGACCCAAAGCTCGAGATACCTAGCTCTACGTTTTTGAAGGAGTTCGTCAAGAAACACGTAAAGCACTTCCAGGTGGGTGCAGCTATTATATGTAATTCATTGATGTTTAAAAATCGAGTAATATGTCTGTTCGGAGGCTTTAATCCTTACTAGTTTTTGTACTCACTCATTCAAATGGTAAGCAAAGAAATTTTGAGCGATTAAACGATGTTATCGTTACGCTAACGCTGGGTTGAAGGTACACGTATGGGGACAAAATTGCGAGAATGAACTTATTTTTATTTATGAACTTTCAATATAAATACAAACAAAAAATGCAAATTTAAAAGAGTGTATATTTCGCGATGAAGGCATATCTTATTCATACCATCAACGCCAAGATCAATGTCAAGATACTCTCGCGTTGCCCGTGATTCGTAGTTCTTCTGTGAGTGTAACGTCAATCACTTGTTTCTTCTGAGGTCTCGTTCCGTCCTGTCGAAAGGTTCAACGCGACACTGTTTTTGCTTGTAGAGGAAGGCCGTTATAACTTTTCTAACCACTTAGTTTGTTGTCCTGTTGTATGAAGACCCCTTTGCCTTTTCTCTATGGGTCGGTTCGGTAACTTCTCTTGCTTCCGCTACATCTTGATTCCTTTTGGCAGCTAGTTTCTCTCATAAGGGTTTCTTTATAGTACGCGTAGTTACCATGTAAATTCGATGGACACTATTGAACCGCAAGGATATCCGCTCCCTGACTCTTCTCAGTCAAAGCATCGACGTAATAGTTCTATGTAGAACTTGAATCGACGCACCGTTCAACGTACCGGGTTTTTCTACAGTACACTCACCAGTGAGCAGACCAGACGACAGAGAAAGGCCTGCTCAGGATATGCTAAGTCCAACATATGTCAACAGGTAGAGACGTTGACACGATGTTAACAGCGCCTTGCTTAATGGATTGCAAATAATCGTAGCAGGTAACTTCAACTTAAGATTAGATAAACCAAAAGACGCTTCGTTTTAATATGGGCGTCTTTCCGATACCATATAGCTGTTATCTACTTTAACATAACAGAAACAAACATTTTAATACATTTTTTCAAATGCGATTTGTTACACAACATTATTACAATTGTCCTTCTGACTCACACGCAATATCTGCTTCACCTAATTGAAGTTCTAGCAAAGGTAAGCTGAACAACACAGTTTTAGCCATTCTTACATGGACAAAAGATTCTAATCCCGTTTTAATACCTGCCGAAGTAAACAACGCAGGGTATATTCTAGCAAAACTGAACCTGAACTATATATGGTGAATCGTTTGGCGCCTACAAGGTTGCCTTCGATTAAGTCGGCTTCATGTCTTTTTTAATTTTAGGTAGGCAATTATCTTGTTGTACATATTCGAATGTTTAACGTAGTTGGTTTTCCTTTAAGCTTATATAATGTTCCTTGCTCTTATGTTAAAAGAAATCGACGTTTTTTGCTACAAGCTATACAGTGCGATATCCGGACTGTGTGCCAAGCGTGGCAAAGCGTCCCATAGAAAATCGATTAACGCTCGCAGGGTCATCAAAGCGGTACGCGAGATAGCGTTATTGTCTAACAGTATCACTTTGCGTCGCCCTTCGCGAATTTAAGGCTTTTTTCGACCGATCTCGTGGCTCAGGCGCACGAGTTGATTTGCGTAACGGTCTCCCGGGGTTCGTTCCTGGAGTTCAAGTAGCCCATAGCATAACATTCCCTTCTCATTTCACCATATGCAAAGCTGCAGCCTTCAACCATGCATATTTCTTCGTTGCGTCGAACTAGAAGAATCTAACCATTCTGATTTGCATTTAGCAAAGTCGTTCTTTCATCATACTTTCGTCGCCATTGTCCCAATATAAATTGTTCAGAACTGCTACGTAGCTACCGAGCAGATTGCTCAGACAAAGAGGATCTATGAAGAATCAAACCTTTCCGAGATTACTTAGAAACGACTGCTTACGAAAGAATTTTTAATCAATCGACAAATTTTCACGCCCAGTCTTCTCTAGAATAGATTGATTCATTTATATTCATTACAGATAATTGGCAGGGAAGGCAATGAACTCGTTATGCTCAGCCACCGCGCCCAAATTAAAAGGATCTCTAACGATGTCAGCCGCCTTCTTCGGGCGCGCAATCCAAAATGCATCAATGCTGCCGAACTGCCTGGAGAGCTCGTTGAGCTTTGGTTACATAGCAGAGACTCAGAAGAACTCGACGTGTCGCGATTTGGTGTGTGTTACCTCGATGATCTGCTGGTAACCCTCCCACAACACTGGGGCATCTATTGTAGTGAGTACATCTCAAACGAGACGGGAGCTTTGGTCGTGCGACAGTATGGTGATGGTATGGAAGATGTTCCAAACTTTATTAAGTTGGAATACCCCACAGGTCCGATAGGGTTGCGAGATAATCTCAGTGACTTCTTAGCGAGTGAGAAATACAATGATTTCAAAGGATACAGCATAGTACATGCCTGGATACCAATTAGTCATCGTTCCGATTACAAGCTCAAGCTGATAGCGCTCTTAAGACAACAGGTGAGTTGCGTGTACTGCACAATTTATAGTATATTTCGGGGGTCTTTGGAGACACGTCGTTCTTTTGAACGAGGGGTTACTGGCTATGTGATTAAACACTGCTAAGCTCTCCACAATACCGATTGTAAGGGCTGAAATTTAGCAAAGTTCAAACTACTAAATTTAGCTAATTATAATTTGGGGGTAATAATATTTTTGCATTTCATTGGATGTTATTTGTTCCATAACAAAGCGGTTTATTTCTCTACCCTAATTTCGAAAATTCCAAAATCAAGACAAAATACGCCTTGAAATAGTTCTGTGAACGACTAAATTGAATCATATTACTTAACGACTGTAGGTACCGCCAGTTGAGGCGGAGCCGTATGGATGACTGTTTTTTTCGGGAATGCTCGAAATAGAACGCCAAAGATCGCAAATATGACAAAAAAAATGAGAGAAAAACTTTCTGCAACAATGATCGCTGTCACTAGCAATTAACCTACCAGCTCGAGAGTCTTGTAAACCCACCCCAAGTGTAAGCCAGAAATACGTTTACTTGATCATTCCACCGAAAAGGATGCCTTCATCCCGCGCTCAACTTTTTTTGATGGCTCGTAGATTGATGGTAATGCGTGTCTGACATGACCAACCTAAGCCATAAGTGTACCCCGCGACTTGACACTCCGTTCAAAATCGAACTTCGGTGGTAGCTTGCAAGACATATTGGGCTACTGACGTGAAAGGCGCAAAAAAACAGGCCCATCCGGGTCGCAGCGCCTAGTGCTCTATAACTGCTATTTCTATGCTAAATAATTGGTATTTCTAAAACTCGCCTCCGCTAGCGAAGCTACCCCTTTTTCCAGCTCAAATATACCTGACGACTGATCAGTCGGATTAAGGGCAATTTTGGCAGTTTCTTCGGTTCAGGGTTCGAATATGCGCCTAAGGCTTCGCCTGTCGTAGTACTTACCGTGAAGGCGACCACCAGGAACATCGCGGAGACAAACGAGCCGCGTGCTTTCAATAAAACATGTCCCTTCTATTAGCCCGTTTGCTTGCGAGTGTCCCACGGCGGTTCTTGTCTGTCCTACAACTTGTTCTAACAACGACTATCAGTCTGCGGCGTGCCATCTTTATTTACTCAGCAAAAGAGTTCAGTCTCTTCGGCGTAATGCAGACTTTCTATGAAACGGCGGATTAAGTTGTCTATGTTCTTAGCAAAAATATAGTAATTAGCAGGTACTACCGCCAGCGAGTAAAAATTAACCGGCCGGCAGTAGAAGGACACCGTTCGATCTGTCACCCCTAAAGGCAAAGAAGGCCCAGCCCAGCTCATGTCGTGTTGTGAAATCGTGTGAAAGTGTGTGAGCTACAAGTACATATCCTAGCTCTTGGCACAAAAGTTGTAACAAAAATTCCCCAAAAGCAATAGAAACTTAGAAACGAACGCTTAACGGCCGCGCCATGCAGGATTTCCCTGACGGATATCAAGCAACCAATGTAGAATATTTGATTCCATATTCAGGTAACAACCTTTGTGAAGGCAACAATGACCAGACACATGCGCGGTGTGATAACAGAAACACTTGAGCCAGGGAAACCGGAGATGGAATTTCTACAGTTCTTTTCAAACTACTGAACCATACAGGGAGACCACCTAGGCTTTCTTTTCTTTTTACTGTTCAGGGACCTACTCAAGAGGATTTGTAAGACTAGGAACCTCGTGAAAGTGTTTTTATTTGCAGACGACTTGTCTATGAGAATATTAAGTTCCGGATACAGTAAGGCCTTTCAAAACTGCCTACAGCCACCACGGAGCTTTTTACAAGGATGAAAGCGGTGAGGTTCAGACGTAAAGGCAGGCTAGCACTTTAAGATACCTTAGTCAAATCGGACATGCCTCTGTAATACAGACTCAAGTTTCCCAAAAGCCGTAAGTACCACACAATTGCCGTAGCTTCACATCGGATATAGATAAGAAATGCAAGAAGACACTGGGTGCAGCGGCTTTCATAAGAAATCCACGACGCCTACCTATTTTATCTATATCTCTTCGTTTCTTGAGGTTACTTCAGCAGTCACATGCGACATCGACGTAATATGGCAGAATTTGACTGTAAATCCATCAACAGTGCCTTTCTTGTAAAAGTCTTACCGTTCACGATGAAATCGGCTTGAGTACGTCGTTGCTGACGCATCACTCCTCGCCGAACAATTCAAAATCCATTTTAACCATCTGCGTACTCTTGTTTTCACGAGAAATTTCGTTAACTGGGAAAAGAAATTGGCGGAAATTAATGTCGATTTCCTCAGCACTAGAATGATGAGGGATGTTACGTGGAAAAAACTGGATTGTCCAAACTCATATCATCACGTGATTTACGGTACATGGCTCTCGTCATGTATTGTCTACATCGGGCTTACATGAACCCATTGAGAGCTACATCTGCAAACCTGTGATACGAATCATACGGCACGATGCCCCTACCCTCTAAAAGAACCTTGCTTGGTGACGGTATTAGTTTACGATATTGTAAGACTGTTTGTGTATTACAAATTCCATACAATCTACTACCATCATGAGCAAGTTTATAAATACGTTTTTGGCTGTTATATATATTTTTGTAGGTCGTCAAGACCTATCTAATAAATATTGTTTAAGTTAATGTTATATATTACCGACCGAAGCCGGAAATACAGTTATTCTATAATACATTTATATATATATATATATATGTGGCTAGTGTCCTTTTCGGTATTGATTTGACCTATTCGTTAATGCCATGCCATATCAACCCAATCTATTGTTCCGGTAAACAGCAATGGTTACACTTAACATATCCAGTTGTCCCATTGAGGCGTTACAATAATTTTATTACCTGGCTGTAGTAATTTTACCAGACTTTTTTAATGGGAAAAAAATGCTGACCGGTACCACGCTCTATTTACCATGTTACAGAAAGTCTATGTCCTTAATTTAGGCAACAGATAGGGCTGGATCCTGGATTTATTACATACTCTTTCGTTAAATTTAGCTAATTTCATAGTCTTGAAGTATTGGAACCTGGTCGGCAATTGTTGAAAATTTTCGAAAAATGATATACTGTAACATTGTCTGTTTTTCGAACGTTACAATAACGTTGAAATCGAACTTTGAAAACGACGTTCGCCGTTTTACGTTTTCGTAGTTGAGAGGTAAAATGGTACTTACATAAAAATACGCCCACTTCTTACAGCATACGACCTTACACAACCTACTAAGGTAGCAGGATTTGTGCCATTTCAAATCTTACTTCGTATTACCTAGCAAGACTTTGTAGAGGTTTACCACGGCCTTTAATCTATCTAGCCCTCATCTAATAACCACAAGAACGTTTCCCCGCCTGTTTTGTCAAATAACTGGTTTACTCGAATAAAGTCTGTAGTGTCCCATGCAGAGAAGCTCTTGAAATGAACTTTGATAGCTGTTTTGGACAAACGAGAGCGGGAGAAGTCGACGCAAGTGCATCTAGCCATAAATATTATTGTCCGCGAGAGGTAAAGCCGGCCCAAAATTACTTTACCTTTATTTATTTTCACCATGTTGCTTGCCTACATTTCATCTCTATAAAGGCAGGGCCAGAATTCAGTTTTCTAACAAGTACAAAGGTTCTCCAATATTTCTTTATTTTCTATCGAAAAAGAAAAAAAAAAACGCCAGACTTACGTTAAATGCTTGCGTTTATTTTTTATCGCAGATATTGAACATGTGTCGAGGGGACCCAACAGCTGCTGATCTGAAGTCGCGTGTCGAAAATCTCGCAATACACTACAGTAATCATCAACAGAAACAACAGCACAATCAGCAGTATCGTCGTCAGCAAAATTTTCAGCATCAGAACCAACTTACCCCTCAGACCTCTCTATTGAAACGATACGAAAATGCCTGTTTGCGGTGTAATAGACAGGCAGTGGATTCGGTCAAACAGATCTTATTCAGTGCTTCGCCAGCTAAGCCCGCCACAACCGGTAAGGCGATACACAGCAACAAAAGTTGTTCCGACAGAAAGACCGATGGAAAACACCATATGCCATGTAATTTTGAGCTGGATTTTAAGGAATTTATCCCTACCTTCCATCACGTGTTCAACTGCCAGGCTATCGTCAGCGACTACGGGACCCTCAACCTCTTTGAGGTATCTTAACGATATCAGCTATACGCATGTCGATCGAATGCTAGCGAATTGAACTATACGTGAGCAGACGACTCTCTATACGAAACAATACGCTATCCAATATCTGTTATGCAGAAATTATGACAATGGGTCTTTGAGAAATTATGCTCAGTCCAGTGAAACATCTTGTTACACTTAGGAATCTTGCCTATTTGTCTAGTCGCAACAAGATAAACCGATAGATCTGCCTTCCTGACGATTTATAGCGACAAACTGTTTTGGTTTCCTCTGTGTCTGTCGCCTGCGCTCTTAATTGTGTTGGGGATCGTTACTTGCCTGGCTTGTACTCTATCCAGCTGTTTGACCTTATGGGAGACACGGTTTTACTGACGCACTTTGACGCAGCCGACGCAAAAATCAAACTGACCGCCGAAGCGCGACGAGACGTTTTGGAGCGGCGGCTGATCCACATTCTGCGCAGGAGCCAATATCATCAGCTTTCGTTCAAGGACCTCACTGAGCAGTAAGTTATCGATCGAATAACTTGAGCGGCTGGTGTCCGTCGGTCGCATAGCTTTGCATACGGATCTGGCACGCGCGATATGCATCTCGTCCTCAGCTCCGTTTGAGACACCCAGCTGATAGTTGGGGTCGTTTGTATGTCTACACTTGCTTTATATAAGTAGCTTATCTAATAAATTGCACCAGCTTGTGCCTCGTTATTTAGTATTGCGGTCGATCGTTTGTAAGTAAATGTTTAAACACTTTCTTTACACTTCGTGTGTCTCTCGGGAGAAACAGATACAAAAATGATCCGACGATGAGTCCGTTTTACGACGAGTGCGAAATCTGGCATGCTGTGTGTCACTCGAATCTCATCGTCATTAAAACAATTGATGGCAAGTGCTTCACTAAATTGAAGCCAAGGTTCAGTCTCAAAGAAGCTATGAGAAACTGCGCGGATGTAGCAAATCTACTTAGCATCTTTATGACAAGCTTTACGCCGGTAAGTACAACTTTTCGGTAAATATATAGTAAATAGTATCTAACAATGATATCATATGATGCTGTTGTACACCCAACTTCGAACTTAGATCACCAGCTTTGTGATTGAGATTCCTATCCTAGTCAATATTAGGACACAACCTCTAGGATGGACGTTATTCGCATTAAGTACCTTGTTGTCGATGAATGTTGTTTTTAGTTGACGTTTGACCAGCTGCAGAGGAAGTTCCAATCGAAGTTCGGTTGCCATATGCCACTGTTTGCATTTATGGTACTAGAGGAGATGGGCGCTATCCGAAAAACGCGGGTGCATAACGTTTCGGCCGCCAAGACCGCATTTGATTTGCAGGATATCTGTCGCACCGTGCGAAACCTCATCTACCAGATGACCGATAAGCCATACGAGAAATACTATGTTCCTGATGAGAGCACGGATACTATTCACGTAAAGCCTTTGGAGCGTCAAGAACTGTCCATTCATAAACTGCTTGAACACTCAGGCGACTGTATGTGCCCCGAATTCGATGTCAAACAATTGATGAATGATTTCGATGAGTTCTTTCATGAGCATAATCAAACCGAGTATACCCTTAAACCTCATATTATTGCTGGTGTGCCAACACGAGAAGACATGGAAAATAAAAAAAAGAATCAAAAAAAGTGTCACTCTGCACATGCATCTCAAACGACCCCACGCGGTCGTGCAGACACCAAATAGGCCACAAAGTGTCGCGTCGTGCGAATCGTACGGGGTAGAATGTCGTGGAGATGCACATGTTCCGAAACGGTCTTCGGCAGGGGTCTATGCAGTGCCGCATAGAGGTGCTTGAAGCGGGCGTCACGTTTTTCGCTATCTGGTCGACGTTCCGGAACGAGAAAATAAATGCGTTTCTAACTTCTCGTTAGTTCCACTTCGACACAGATATTCTCCTACACTGTAATTCTACCTTAAAAGTATATTACTTTAACACAATGCGTTTGGTACACACGTGATTTAACTACACCTGCCATCTGAATTGCGTTGCGGTGTGCAAAAAGCTTCGTCAGTTCGTACTCGTTTGTAATCTAGGCAAATCCTAGAAGTAAAAATTCCATTTTACTGTAGTTTGCTCTGTCGAACGAATGTAGCCGCTGTGTAGTCTTCGCGGATGCTTTATTTAACGTTGTCCAGAGTATAACTTAGAGGGGAACGAAGGTCGCTTTGCCAAAATGCCTGTTTACCTTAGCCTTCGGTTTAAAGGTCGACACCTCTATGGATCGTAGTAAACAAGCGGAAAAACAGTGGTGTTGCTTCTTGCCAGTAGTAAACGTACTGTTTAGCTTCTTAAATGTGTCTCATCGGCAGTTTATCGAAATGATAGATCAAATTTTCCAGTCTGCCATAGTTTCATGGCCAAACGGACAACAAAACTTTATTTTGTTCCTAGGTCGCTACTAGAGGACTAATTGTAATGGAACGTTTCTTTTTTTGTAACTAGAACTTTTAACTATTTCAACCATCTATGTATGGGATGTGCCAACAGCACATATATATATATATATATAGAGAGAGAGTGTGTGGCTGATCTGATTGTGGCAAAATCAAAATTACCATTGACATACTGATCGTTTAACTTGATTTATACGAGTAACATCTTAAAGAAATCAAAGCTAACATGTGATTCTGTTTTAACTTTAACTGTTTCAACAAGCGTATCGAATTGAGGCATAGGTTAATTGACCTTTACGTGTATCTTGCACAAAACGACATGGGCAGTCCTTAATTCAGAAGGACGAGAGAAAAAGCTGATACAGCTTGGGAATGGACGTCATATATATACATTTCATGGTGTGTTAATAATAGATTTTAATATGGCCAAGCTTACTTGATGCGCTTTTAACGCTAGCGGCAGCGATGGCCCCCAGAGGCCAAAGTTATAGACGAATTACTATATTACTGATACCAACAATAACGTGCACACGTACAAATGTATTGATTTGATATGCTTCACTAGACAGACTATGGTTAATCGGTAAACTCATTTTACAGATAACAATAAAAGACATATTTAGAAAATCATATTTACTAGGAGTTTATTTTGGTAATGAGTAGTTAGGAGAACGGTGGCTTTGTTGACGGTCAAAATCAAAAAGCCAGAGATTATAGCTAATAGAAACAGTGACTAAGCGCCCTCGCGAAAAGGGTAATGTACAGTATACACGGTTATCGACAGTCGACTAGGTGACCGCTATTTCAGCTTAATGAAATTAACATAGGACTCATACACCCAGGTCAGGTTGATTTTCTCCCCTTCTGAAGCATACCCCCCCCCCCCCAACTTCTCTAGAGCAGAAGTAATTTTCTATAATCTTCTCTAATTTTGGACCTTTGCAAAGTCGATGACTATCGCTAATGGAATTATAATGTATGTACCACTATACGAACATGCTTCTGACCAATCAGCTAGCTTCAGCCTATTTTTAGTACAAAAAGAACGTGAATTGAATAAAGGAGCTTAGTAAACGTATCTCAAATGATGAGAGAAGAGGTAAGTTTGTAGAGCCTTCAGCCTTATAGTCGGATCTTTTCTTGGAATCAATTAGATCAATCAAAGTCAAAACCTCTTCGTTTCGGTTCGACCAAAGAGCGTTAGCCACAGTTTCTAGTACGTAGATTTATTCACGCTAGTTAAACGACTCGTATTTACTATACTTACATGAGATTTGAGGTAAAAATAAAGTGGTAATACTTATTATCTTACACAAATGCTTCTTCTTTGCTTCTCCTACTACTACTACTGCTGCCCAAAAACACAGGCACTTGATTAGCCCAAGATAGGTAGACATGTAATAATAATATAATGTTACAATACAATGTTTCTGGCCCATAGTGATGCGGTGATCCAAGCCGATAGTAGGAAAAATCGATTTTTTTTATAAGCTCTATATAATCTCCCATTAAAATAAAACGAATATTTACCTAAGCATTTAACAAATGATGCTTCTCACTCGAAATCGCCCATGCTATTTAATCAAATAAACAACTAGCTGATTTCTTCTTTAGCTCTGCGTCTAATACCCAAAAAAAATACCTAGGCTAAAATGTCCGGCGCCTGATTTAGTCCGATAGCCGCGATGAGCTGCCGACCTCAAGCCCTAAAATATCTATACTGACAATAAATCAGATTATAAAAATCGAATTAAAATTGTATATAATATAGCTATTATTCTAGGAGTATATTCTAGGGACCATGTGTAAATAATGTTGGCAAACTTATTTCGATGTACAGTATAGTTCAAAGAATTCGGTAACTTCTGAAACACTTGTTTGTAATAAGTTTACATGAAGACTATTCAGCTTGGTACCATCTGAAAACGTCGTGGACGGGATACAGCATACGAGCAAAATGTGTCACTTTTACAGACTCAGGATTCTAGTAATGCGAGAGCCACAAATACGTACAGAAGCAACGTTCTCAGTAAAACATAGAAATTTCTGTGCGTATATTTCGATTTTAAAGGTGACTTAACGAGTTAAATTTACGGACTCTTTTTCAGGCTACAATGGATAAAAGAAAAGGCATCGTGTTATTCTTTCATTAAATTGTAGGCCGGTCGAGGTCTGATTGTTTCTAGACCTCGCGACTTTAGCTGGATCCATAAGCGGCCGTTCCTCATAACGTTCTATTGCGCATCAAGTACACTGATAAATACGCACAAAATGATTTTGCAGACGACTGTATGAATTTTCTACGTCGTCTTTAAGGCGCTAGCACCTAAATCTGCGCGCGATTGCGAGCGCACCAAGTCATACGCACAATGTGAACTTCCATCAGATTCCACTTTTTGCTATAATATTATTCATTGACTTTGCGCCTTATGTTGTCCTTGTCGGCGGACACTCGCTCTGGCACATACGACCCTCAAGAGGATTCTTCGATGGGCCTAACGAGCGGACCTGTGTTGACGTAAAACACGCTTTCCGATTTGTCTTGGTTTCTACACTTAGTTTGCTTTTTGTTGTTACAAACACCGAACAATTTCGACAGCTTTAAACCACTGCAATTGAAAACACTATCAGGCGATGTGTTTCGAGATAGTGTTTCATTGGCCTCTATCACAGAGCATTCGAAACTCCTACTATTGTCAGATATTAAGCTAGCTTCATGCTGTTGTGCTTCAGCTGACTTCGCAATAACAGGAGGTTTCCTCCCAGTTTTTGGGAAGAATATTGGCTTCAGACTGAAGTGGGCCGTTTGCTTGCTGGCAGCATTCGACATTGGGGATAGGTGTTTAGTACACCTAGTGTCTAGGATCTCCAGCTTCGGCGCAAAGATTGAAATATCGGACTCATCGATTAAGCTGTCTCCATCAGATTCGTAACAATTTGCGGAAGTGGAAGCGCAATCGCTGCTTTTATGAACATTTCCACCGTTCATTCCGAATCTAGATTGATATGTTTGCCAGCTGACTCTCACATTTGTTTGCTTCGAATCTCCAGCACGCTCCATCGTTGAATCCACTCGGCTATTTGAAGGTCTCGTATAATCATCAAACATGGGTCTTGATGACCGTGCTGGTTCCATTGTTCGAATCGGTAGTCAAAAGTACGGGTACCGCGCGAGTGGTCAACTAGAACCGACGCTCATAGAGCACGACGTTATCTCGAAAAGGTTACGAAGAAGGAATCCCGCTGTTTCTAGCTTTTGTGGTTCTAGCATTTGCGGTTATTCGGAGGCTGTCAAACGATAGTATAAAAGAAACGTACCGGATGCGAATAGGAAAGGATTAAATGACGTACGTTAGCTTGTCTCTCAGTTTGTCGTTGAGCCCAACTCCAGTGTCTTCCATTAACAATCGGACATTACGTTAGCCTGACAATCAGGAGATCGTCGTCTGTCAATATTTATCATTGTGCCTAAGAAAATAACTTGTAAAATAGTGCTATCTAGTTAATTTGCCATTAAACAGCCAATGACGACGAGCGCATTGTATGAATATGCCAGTAGCTTTGATTAACATTGATGCTTCTATGCCAAACGATAAGGACGACAGCGCTGTTTGCCGCTATGCGCAAGACTACGACCGATCTAATACTAGCTTTCTAACTAAATGAGCTTTGACGGGCCGTTTAGATAGATGGCAATGCTATTTGAAAGTATATAGGCTATAGAAAAATATACTACTGCTTCGGTACGTTTTAAGCAGATTATGTAAAGGTTGAAGGTTTTACTGTTCAACAGAAGCGCGTAAGCGGGACACTTATTTACCACGACATCTCTATTGAGTGAAAGCCTCACCTTCCAGAGCTAATGTCAAAAGCATTTTGCCTCAATGAAGGTAGACCTAGTTGAAAAATGTCCCACTAAAACAGTTCGTTTTTATTGTGTACAAGCGCGATCGCAAAAAACACTATATTGTACGTAAAAACTCAAATAAGAATCTCGATTTATGATCATTATAACGCATACGAGGCGTGCAAATAACATTTATCAAAATTCGGTTGTGCTACACAAGAGAAACTTCCAGCTGAGTACCTATATCTTTCGTTCAATTTATCTTTTCAATGAATTTTTTTCTTCTCTTTGCGAACATGCTCATCTCTTTCCAGGTTTTTCCTTTAAAGGTTAATCTGAACACACTTCGATAGCTTATGATAATAGGCATGCCTTATCAACTCTTATCTATTTACGTAAAAACTACCACTTTACTCCTCAGTACTTTTTAAACGTAAGCTAAAGCACATGTATTACAGCGTTGAAAGATACACTAAACGAATCTAACCCTTCCAATCGGTACAATTTGTTAATGCTTCAAGAAAGCATATATATATATATACTTATGTCAACTAGGCAGACATTTACAAAGTATGAAAAAAACAAAAAGAAAAATAACAGCAGAAACACTGTTCTTTGAGTAATTCGGAAGTGAGCAGCCAAAAAAGACATCTAGTCAACGAATTTGATACATGTGAACCCTTTGTTTATATTTTTAGGTCTAAAACGAATATGAGGGGACATGAGACCAGAGTCACATGGGACAAGGTCAAATTCCAACATTGTACAATTGATGTTACTGAGTTTTTTTTTTTTGATCAAACTTCAGCAAACAGGGCTGTATGGGACAGTTGAGAACTACATATTCATAATGGGGGTTATATGGGTCAGAGTGAGATGGAGATACATAGGCTACTGCATTTTAGGCATACAGGAATCAATGTCAATTTTATGGAGAATTCGCGAGTACAATTGAGCGTAATAGAAATGCGTATACGCATATATATGGCGATATAACCGAAAGCGTCGTGGTTTCGCGCTCGGTAAACCATATGTCGTTGCTGTTAGCTATGAGTCACAATTGTTTTCTCGGAAAATCTCGACGACGTTATTTTTATAATGTAATACTGCTTCCGTATGCATTAGACCACGAATGATAGATACGATTTTTTACCGATAACTGTTTTTACCAAAACAATACATAGCCATAATCGTCATGTAGAGTTCAGTACGCCGTGAACGATGCGCCATTTTTCGAACAAGATGCAAATCATCAATGTGCCAGCTTCCCGGGCCATTCAGGGGGAACTTCACGCTGAGCAGCACAATTAGCTTCTATCTTTCGAATTTTACGCCCGGTAGCCCCGTAGGGCATGCTGTCAATCGCGAAACGTCTTTCCATGAATTCGAAACCAGGCAATAACGCGTGCCTAAAGTTATCGGGCAAGTACGTTACCCATTAAACTATCACGGGGACTGTGTAGCCTAACTCGGTGTCGGATATTTCAGCTTCTCTAGCTGATGATCAAAGCCCATCCTAAAAAGCTGTTCTTCTTTCAGCTCTACAGGTGGAAGTCGTTGGTGACCCATATTCCGCTTGGTAGGAATATGTAGGTCGCCGACATATAGGCTTTCAATTGGTACTTTCTGCAAGGTAAATGAATAATAGTAAATCCGCTTCGGTAATATAATAGAAGAATGTCTAACAAATGGGTTAAACCTGTGCCACTTATTGTCCCTAACGAAACAATGAGGTAAACATTTTTCTATATAGCTCCATCTACCTCTATATTGAAAGGTATAACTCCGATTTTCAACCAGATCTTATTTAGAATTTCCTACATAAATCTGTGAGAAATGTCAGCGCGTCAAGGTGAATCAACCAAAAAAATTGATATTTACCTCTTACTTTTTGACCTATGTCTTTCTATTGTTCCATTCTAGTTAGATTTTTCGATAGTCGGTCCAGGCCACCTTTTCAGATTCGACAAGGCTTACATGAATCGTTAGTGTAATATAGTGGGTTTAGATACGGTAGTTGAGAATTGTTTGTAGCATGACTTTCTCCATAAATTTACGGGTCCTGATGCTAGAAGAACACTCCAAAACTTCCGAGGCGGATAACCGTAGGTAGCGATCTGATACGGTTGTCCATGGGACGGATTCGGCGAAATCACCAATCAAACATCACTTGGAAAGCTGCAGTAGGCAGTCCTGTGCGTGATACATTTCTATCGGACTAACGATTGTTATTTTAGTTTTTTGAACGAGTTCTTGGTCAAGTTCAGTCCTGGTAGGTTACTATCGCGTTATCAACTTGGAGGCTGGATGACCAGTCGTCCATTTGCAACTAAATGCTTGTTTTGAGTATAGGAAAAGCCAAATATGACTAATGTGACTCGTTTCCATCGCTGTACTTTGCAATAGGGTCATTTGCCATGTGTCGGTACGACCGTGCGAAGCGTGTCGAGTGTTAAACATCAACAGTTTCACCAATCCCAGTCCAATATGCGCTTAGTGAAAATATATGATAGGGATCTAGAAGCCTAGGAGCGATTATGGTACTGATGCGAGTCCACTGGTCATTGCCGACGCATATGTATGCCGCAAATTATCTATATTGTACAAACCCCAATGGTGAATGATAACAGAAAATGAAGTGGGGTTTAACGTGGAGAAAAAAAAAATTAAATGAAACACGCTTCTCTCATCTTCACACATTTTCTGAAGCGGGTGCTTCAAATAAAAGGCCAAAATTTCGAAGGAAAGCTAATCGACCTTGAGGTTTGTGTGGCAGTCGTAGCACCAGACTCTTCTTCCGCTTCTAAAATAATCTTCTAGTTATTGGCTTTGCTCAGAAGAACACTTGTATCTTTCAATATCACAATTTATGAGGAAATCAATTTTGCATAGGCCAACCGTACAATGCAAATCATATTCAATGAGCTTATTAACCAAACAATCGATCGAAATGTCCAGTTCTCTAGGTTACTTGACCTATGAATATGACCTTCGAATTTTTTTGATAGGATTATTGCGGAGCATATGGAGTGTACTTGCATAGGTCGCGTGTACTGGATGTTTCGAAAGAGCTTTCATACTGAATTGGGATTTACTATGAACATGGCTGCTTTAAGGGCCGTCGGCAGACCGCCGGAGGACGGTAGAGCAACATACCCCACTGTAGTTGCAGATTACGGTAACACAGTTCTTAAGCAGCTTACGTAACAGCTATCTATTCGATTATCGCAAAGCAGGCACCGAGACGGGCGGAATTGTTATGTTAATTTTAACGCAATGTTCTTGTTGCTACTGCTGCTGCTTCTGCCGCTGGCGTTGCTATTTACTAAAATTTCTGGGTTCTCTAAGATCCAAAAACGCCTTAGCCTCAATTAGATTGTATATATTTTATAGCGTGTAATTTCTGTGGGGAGTGTCTCGTTATAGGCATTTGTTATACTGGACAAAGGTTTCCATTGGGGGCCCTCAACCAGCTGAAACTTGCTAAGAAGAAAGAGATGCTTGAACAAATATTTGCTATGGCAAACAGCCCGAAGCATCTTGTATGTATGGTTCGTACATTCCGTATTGTTTGGACCATATAATATTTGAAAGTCTGTGCGGGGATAGTTATGAACGAACACCGTAACATCTGCGAATTTGCCAGATCATGTGAGTGTACGCAGCAATGTATTTTTCCAGTACCTATTACGAAAACGTTTTCAGCCGTATCTAATATTTTAGTCGATTAGAAAGCTAAGAAACGCGCGTTTCTTAACACGCATTCGTCTGTTGTAGCGTAATTTAACTTGTCCTTGCCCTTTGCAACAACAAGCCCGATTATCGCTGATACTCAGTCCGGCTTGATTGGCCTACCGGTTCGTCGTTTCGTCTCCTGGTTATTAGAGCCTCGATATTTCTCCTCCATCGAATTTTATTTCATTAAGATGTCTTAAAGTTTTGTAGTAAAGATAAATATATATAAAAAGTCTCATGGGGCAATAGAGTCGAGTCCTATTTACTTGTTAGGGATTATAAGCCACTTGGATACAGGCTTATCGCCAAATGATATTGCTTAAATTTAAACAACAACACTGATTAGTTCACGTGCCTCAGATCCTCTCGCTCCTTCGAATTGGATAATAGGAACATATACCCATGAATGCTCCTTGTCTATTTCACCAAATAATAATGAATACATCACAATAATGGATAATAATGGAAATTGCACGTCTTTTTTTACGCTACACGTAACTTCATACATTTATTCGTAAACTGTGCATGGTGATGAATTCCGGACCACGATTAAAAAGAACTTGATAAAAATCTAAGCCAATGAATATTACTACTCAATTGTATATCAGATATAATATCATACTGATAGGATATTGTCAATCGTCTGTGATCGATATTGCAAGTACGATACCCAGAGCTATTTTTTTCAACAAATCAGATTGTGGTCGCAGGAGGTGCATGCTTCAAATACTGACGAGTTCGAAATCTAGACAGCGTAATCATGCACGTATTAGCCATGGATAATTGGTAGGCATTTTCCGATGATGTGTGCCCATGAAGAAAGAAACATCTTGATTTTGTTGGCCTTGTTGAAACAGTGAGGTCTGTAGTTGCTGTCAATGTCCATTCCAAATAGCTCAGGGTGCATCCCAAAGAAGTTAGGTATGGTATCAAATACACGAACGCTACAAAAGATTCTCCCATGTTTTGACAATCATACCCGTATTTTCAATGTTTTACTTACGGACAGAACAAGAAGAAACTGGTGTTAGACTTGAGCGCACATATATATAGAGATATATACGCACAAATAATCCATGTGTGTAATAAATATTTGACGGGCTCCAGCTTTATTGACTCGTGTTTAGACTAGTTCACTGTAAATAATATATTCTTTATGATTCTATCTAATATTTCAAAAATCTAAATTCAACTAAATAGAATTATATATTGTTGCCCATGTAACTTACTCATAGACAAACGCTTTTGATTGATTAACTTACTCACCTCACGTGACACGGATATCAAGCAGACGGTTAGCGTTTTCGTTCAGGGTCTTTCTCCTTTTCCGTATTCACAAAATTTCAGCTTCGTGCTTGAAACAGTGCTTTATAAAAATTTCCAAATGATACCTATGAAAAAAGAGTAAGTGTTCACGTAAACATCAATAGTGAAAATTAATGCGTATAGCTTAAAAATCCTTTCAGAGGCACCAGTCTCTTTATGGAACTTCTACACATATGAAGTCATGCGGCCTCCAAATTATTGTATTCAACTCTGGTGTTATTATGGCATAGATTTTTTGATACACTTGCCAACTTCGCTATTCCAGCATACACTGCAATGCGGTGTTCTTAGTTCCAGGGCAGTCACTTTTTTGTACGTTCTTCGTACCAGAAACGGAAGCGGCGGTACGGGGGCGTACAATCTTCGCTCGGCTCATTCGAGTTCTTTGTGAGAAGCAGTCGTTTCACCAGATGGTAGTCCGGCAAAAGAATTGTATATAATATAGGCTGCATAAATACTAACCAATTTGATTTCGCTAATACTAACGGATTATAACATTCAAGCACAACATTAGAATTGTGAAATGCAATGGTTTTTGTAAAATGCACAACAGACGCTTTCCGTTCCATATCTATCAATACAACTTGGAGAATGCTCAACGGCCATTAGCAAGATGCCCGGCGGTTCTTTTGTGAATCTGTAAACGTTTGCCCTTCTTCGACGTGCTGAATGACGTCCCTAACTAAAGTGATCCTATTAGATAACATTGTTTCATTCATCGCGAGAATAGGGCAACTTCGCCATTTGGGCATCCTCGATATGTCGGCGCCTCTTCCAGAGAGAAAACACCGTCGATGACGTTGTTTGCATTGTTCACGTTCTCGAAGCTTCACGATTACCTGGAAGGGTATCAAATTCATACGAAAATTAACTTCAATATCTTACATCATTAGCCTAATGAACTTTGCCAAACAAAAAAAGGCTAAATAGATAGTTGAAAAGCTAGGAAAAATACATAAGGCTCATAGAGAAGTACAAACCTGTTTAGCCACAGTTTTAACGATTGCTACAGCGGAACTCTTCGAACTATCTCTGAATTTATTTTTCTTCGCCCCTTTTTGCTGCTTCGTAATATCATTGCTACTATCTCCAAGAGCAACACTTCCTCGGAGGCCGACGCCTTTTTTCGCCACGTGTTTCGGATCCTTGCTTGACTTTAAGTCACTATTTTCCTCTTTAGCCTTCGCTTTTTCCTTACCATTGGAATTGTCCCTTGTAAGCCCATAGGGAATACCCAGGTCCACCGTCTTATTGGGAGCAGGACAACATCCAGAGAATATTGGTATCTTGGGTGGCTTAAGGTTGGAGCCGCACTCAGCTGAACCGGTGGCCGGCCCCTCCGACTGAAAATGAGGCCGATCTTCTTTTAGTAAAATAATAGAACTGGGTGGAATTTGGCGCTTTTTAACAGGAAGTAATCATATTAATGAAGACTCGAGTTGTGCGTGTTACGAATGGCTAGCGATCTATAGAAACTTGAATGAAAGTTGTACCACCATTCAAGAACAACTGTTTTTGTGCAAGATTAACTATAGTTGTAAGGAGCATAATAAGTGTGCTACAATATTTTGATATTAACATAGTTACAAGGCAAAAATTTGACTCGACCATGTACTGAAGACTTTTCGTACTTTCGTCCGATCGCTTTAACTGCAAAGGCAGTATTGCCTCCTATTTCTGTTGACGCAAAAAACCACTGTCGTAGGTTATTTGCATTGAACTGTTTCGATCCGAACCACGCCAACGGACTTGCGTGTGTTCTTGGAGCGCGCGCAATTTTCAAATTCATTGAGGAAAAAGCTATTATCTCTGTTAGGTGTATGTCAAAGTGTTTATTTGAGTACTACGATATAGGATCATTGTTTAAGCTTTACTCGCACCTTGTGCTCATTAACATCGAGTGACGAAAGTGTGAGAAGCGAATCTCCAGAAACATAGTCATCAACGGACGGAAGTGTAGCCTGTGCCACCGGAAACTTCTCATTTGCAGACGTACAACGATACACCAACTCTGCTTGTAATTTCTCGACGGAGTCTTCGCCTGTAGCAGTCTGTCAGAGCTCGAAAACGACGCATATAAATGTACAAACAGATCTTCATTTGTTTCATTGACAGTAGTCAAATCAGGTCGCATATATTATTATCAGTTATCAGATCTGAGTTTACTGCAGAATTTCGTGAGATAGATCAGTTTCTAGCTACATACTAGCTACTACATAGAACACATAGCTAGATTTTGCGCTTGATGGACAATCATCTTGTACCGTCCTGATGGTATTAGAGTAATTAGAGTATAATTAAAGTAGGTATAGCAGTAGTTAAAGCATTTGCAAGTATAAATCAAATCTATGGTCTTTAACTGTTTTCTATAGCAATATTGAATGTAATTAAGAAGCCGCGTCACAGGTAGGAATTAAAACAATTGCAAAGTGTAGAGTGAAGTTTGTCTACCACAATAATTAACGCTTTTGCTGCGGCACCCTCAGGACAATTTTGAACAAATTAAATATAAAATAAATATTGGTAGCCTCACTCGGTATATAAGTAAGACTAAAAAATAACGTTTTTGAGCTCCATGTTTCCGATATTGTTCATTCAGGATGACGCGATAGTCACTATTAATGAGCATTAGGCAGATGCTAGCTGAACTGCTCGAATAGCAAGGACTGCGTTATATAGACACTGCCAGAATCATTGTACATTTACGGGAATAGCATTAGGTTCGTCCACAGGAAGTCAACTTTGCCTCTGGGCCTACAAGTAACACAATATAATAATAATAATATTATAATAATAATAGTAATACAAGTAACACTACCGAAACAGCATATATCTACAAGCAAAAAAAATGATAAAAGTATACACTTACATATGTTGGCAGACTGTTTTTATCGTACGGCTTGACAGTTCAACACTTGTGCGGTATTACATGCTATGCTTGAAAACGTATTTTAACTACGGCCACTGATCTGAGGCTAGACTTCCTTCATGTTTTAAGGCCCAGTTATTAGGCCAGCTTTCAAGTGGTACTCAAGCACAAAATTAGTGACTATTGTTTATAGTCGGTCTATTTACATATTATAGTACTATAGTCTATTGTCGGCTGTTGTCTAAGAAGAAGTACTATGGGACTCCATGGGGTTGTTCTTACGTTTTAAATTAACCATTGTCAAGCTAGCCTGCCAAAAATTAGGGCTTAAAAAGTTAACATTTTGGGTGGAAATTCTTCTAAAGAAGGTGCGACCCCCATCATTACGAAACCTATTCACGTTCGTTCTTTGAATGTCTACTTTCTTCACTGCTATTAAATCTATTAACGACAAACAACAAAAGAGTAGAGCTAGTTTTTGTTTCATATATATGTATAGGTACATCATACGAGTTCAACGTTCTTTTCTAAGAGCCGATAAGGCCTTGTATAATGGATACCGTATTTACAGCACATCCAAATGAAATTAAATAGTTGCGGTTGGGTTGTACAATGACTGTGTCTATACATATCTTTATGACTTATTTATGTTTATCCTGGAACAAAAAAAGGTCAAAAAAATTGCCCGCAATCGATTTCATCGATGACGATATAACGTTGAATATCTGTTTGATCTATTTGGATAATATTAATAATCTACAAATTTGGATTTACCTTTCGAAAAATTACCTTCTTCGCAGTTAGATAAGATCTCTTGGGAGCCTATTTTTTAAACGAAAAATGAACTTCCAGTTGAAACATTTCTGATTTGTTTTCCACCGTAAACACATTTTTCACGTAAGTGTAAGCTTAACTTTTTTTTCCTTTAAAAATGATCAAAGTTTGAGTTTATACTTGTTTCGTATATAAAAGGAATTGTTTTGAAGCCAGTAGGGAAGACGTTATTTTGGAACCTACAACTGGACAGCGAGATGCAAAAAAGTACTCGATTCTATAACTCCCATTAACGTAAGTAAATGAAAATCACATTTTTTTTAAAGCAAGTAGGAATAAAGAAGTATTACGATTTCGGTTGTTATGTTTGAAACGGGCTGTTCTTTTTCGGGTATTTTCCACAGTAGCTCCTGGGAAGCCGCTGTCGCTCTGCTGATGCTCCACTTTGACTCTGAATCCTGCATTTTCAGTGCCTGAGAAAAATTAATACTTTTCTGAATTTGTTCATCTGCAGCTTCTGGAAACTGAACAGACACATCAGATGTCTTTGGCGCAGTTGCCAACTCGATGACGATTTCTGGCTTAGGACCCCCCTTTGTTTTGTCGCCACGTCGAAACCATTGAAATGCACCAGCGAGCGCGTTTGCTTTTTTTATTTCTTCAACTGTGCTTGGTAAGACCTTCTCAAAGTACTGCCGAAGACCACTATCGTCATCTTGCGATGAGTGCGCGTCGTACTTGTTAAGTCCTTCGACCTGACGAAGAACCTCAAGAGCGTGCTGGGCTTCGACCGAGGCATCTTGAGTCTTGTTTTTTCGTTTATACAGAACATCCTGAACTTTCTTCTTGTCCTTACGCCGTGGATGTTCTTCGCTCTTAATTTTGTTGTTATCGGCTTTTGTCGTCTTTTCCTCCTCCAGGTAGAGTTCGTTAGGCACAGAATCATGTGATGTCTTAGACGTATGCACTAAAGTACTGCTGAAACCTCGGCTGAGCTCTTTTGCCGATTTAATATACCACATGGGACCATTTGATTCAATTTCATGTTGCGATACTAGTATTTCTTTTGTAGGTTTCTTAAGAATTCGCTCGGGAGTAAGCAATTTTGCCTTCAGCTCGCCGGTAGGCACGTCTGAAACAGTTGGTGATGCTGCAGATTTTTTGCTTTCTAATATCTGTGAGGCTGGTGCAAACGCCAAAACCTCTTCATCCTGGGAGTCCACATCATCGTCAGATCGAATTTGTTCAAGTGGGCCTTCTTTATCCTTTTCGCCAAGCCGTCCTGTACGCTTTCTAAAGAGCGACTTTCGAAGTTGACCACCTATTCCCAGTATACCCCGTTTTTGGTATGTGGCGCTAGGGATTTCCCTTTGTTCCATGTAAAAATCAGTAGTCTTTCCAGGCTGCTCAAGGGTGATCTTTGAAGTAAATTCTTTGGCTCGTTGCTGTCGACTCTCTACGCTGGAGGTATCAGGGTTGGCCGTGGCTTTAAACTTTCCAAATGAAAATTTTGGTAAAAATCCTTTTTTTGATTCTACTGCAGTCTGCAATTTGCTGTACTGTACTTCTGATTTCGCATGTTCTACGTCCTCGTCAGAGGATGACATGCATTCTAATGAACAATAGCCTTTTCGTTTTATGCAAACCTGATGACTATGAGGCTGCTGGTTCGTAAGATCGGCCGGGTCACATGGATCGGGTTCGGGGTCGTCTGACTTGCTTTTTAGTGATTTTGTCTTGTCCTTACTTCGTTTCTCTGTCTGAAGCTTCTTACGATCAGGGCAATTTTTTGCGGAAATCTTCATTGAGGAGCTCCATGATTCTAGAATTTGCTGTGCAGCGTTCTTCTCCAAGTAACTAGCATCATCACTGACTATCAATGGAACCGAAAACTGGCTCGCTGACGGAGTATGTATCAATTCGGTGAGAACAGCACCGTTAGTCCACGGAAAATCTACGATCTGGAGTGTACTAATATCCTGGCAAAGCTGAAGATCCGTTTCAGATGAACTCCTTTGCTCTGCTTCGGCTTGCATATGGACCTTGGTTGAAGGTCCGTTCTTTGATACACTGGCCAGTTCTTTCTTAAAGGACGACATTGATTTTGGCCTTATACTACCTCCAACTGTAACAATTTCCCGCATACTGCGTATAACTTCCAGGTCCTTTTGCTCAATGATTCGAACTAACTTTAATTGATATGTATTATCGTTAGAACGGTGATCCTACCGGCACATCCATAGTATTCTGTACCGCTGTTCTGTGATGCCTTATACTGAAGTAACGTACCTGCAGACAAACGCACCAACACCTTCCACACTTATTCCTACTTTGAAGCTGAGAACAGTTCTACTTATTTTTTCCAATAGGTGGAATATTCTGATGGATAATATATCTACGAAATACAACACCATCTATGTGTATTTTACGTAGCGACAAGTTCGACAACGTCGTTAGCTCCCTTTCCTCCACACACCATTATACATTGTGCTTCTGGACAAGCGAAACAAGAGTCAGTATGCCAGCTTCCATCTCACACATAAACACATGATATGTTTATCTCTATTCCCGGCAGGTCGTAAACGTGACAAGCGTCGCTATTCGGGCTCACGCGTCATAAACAGCATTACAGTCGATGCTACTACTACATGACCAGGTGGCCATTTCAGTGGACTAAAGGAGCAGCGCCACCAGGTGACGAAAGTGTCAGGATCATGAAATTCCAGTAGTAGCAGGAGCACCAGTGCAATAGATAATAGAAACGAAGCCCCGTACTGACAAACCCGACCATTCGTTCTACGGGAAGCAAGGCAATGACAGAGACCTTCAACGTGAACGATAATATGCTGCCCGGTAGAAGACAAGGCTCATGTTGATATTGTGGGCTCTACAAGCACTACCGGCACTATTGAGGCCCTGCAGGAACAGCACTAACAATTCTAGCGACATTGGCAGCAAGCAGCAGCAGCAGCAGCAGCACGGACAATAGTGACAGCGAACAGAACGCGAATAGGAGTAAAGCTATGCGCCAAATGCCCATATCTCGAAGCACGACACTACTCATAAAGTTCTGTTGCTGCTTGATCGCCAGGTAATGGTCGGTATCGGGCCATCGATGATGACCAGTACGTTTCCGCCACTGTCTGCGTGAATGACAGTACTGCTGTGGTATTGGATCCGGCCCAATTCCCTAAACCGTCCTGAATTCCCTTAAATGGTCTAGCAATAGCATTACCCTAGAGTAACCGCAGCTATATCGGCCATAGCTTTCGTCTCTGTGTAGGTGGTCGCAGTAATGGTGGTTGCATCTTCTGCTGCTGTTTGTACGCAATTTATACGAACTGTTCCAATGATGTAGGTTACAAGTATGAAATTTAAGTACTAACTATTGGGATAATAAGTTGCTTGCTTTTATGGAACTCAGTTTTGAGAAATAATATAATATTCAATACAATACATAATACACAATAATACAATAATTTCATCCTGTCATTGTTTTTATATTTTACTATATATATATATATATATATATATATATATATATATATATATATATAGTAAGAAGGGCATTCAATGCTATATTTAATGCGCTGCTTCGCATAAGAAACACTAGCCGCTAACGAATCGCATCAATCAGACAAATTGAGGTTGCCCAGTCCTCGAGCACGCAAGCCGTCACAGCTAGCAGGCTTATCGGTTCAGCCTGATTAAACTTAAAACAATCATATCCCGTACATATAACTGTTTCTCCTAGAGATACAGGCCTGAGTTGCTGTACTTAGCCTACAATTCACCCTGTAGGTAATCTAAGTTGACTTACTGTAGTTATGAGCTGCCTCGCTTGCAGACATATGTAATTGATGCCAGAGAATACATTCACTTAAGAAATTGAAACATGACCGATTTTCTGACTCCCAGTTCAGTAAACTTGTTGGGAAAATAATGCGATAAAAAGCAATGTATCTGTAGTATGCTAAATAAAAATACTAAATATAGTTGTTATCGCAGTGAGGATTTATCAGAGTCTGTATTATATCGTTCTATAAAAAAAAATATACTTGTACAGATATATATGTATATATAAAAAACAAAAGGCCGCTTCAAATATGGGCAAAATAAGTTCCGCTATACAGAGACATATGATTTAACATTGCTCTACGAGCTTCAATGATACGATGCGTCGCAATTAGATCGAATGTGTTTAAGGAAAAAGGGAACGATCTTTATGTGTTTCCCCTTCGTCTGGACTATATATACAAATATATTTTTAATGCGATAAAACAAATGTATTTTGTATTTGTCAAGACGTTAACATAGCCGAAACGTCTGCGAAGGTGTATTCGTGATTTCAGTTCGATTGATCTGACGACTGTGCAGAAGTCTAAACGATTCATTCAAAATTGTATATGGAAGCACCTCAGCGTGTACACAGCAGATTTGCCTGGTGTAGGACACAAATTAGAAATATCGTAAAAAAAAAAAGTCATAACCTGCGCTCCTACTGAGTTACTAAATTAGATGGCTCTCTGAAATCCTCATATGGATAATTGCATTTCTAGGTCCAATCACGTCCTCAAGTACTTTGTCCGCATTGAAAATGCTGCGAGTGGTCCTATTGATTAAAATGGCTAAAGCGGAAAGAATGAATGATATGATTAAGGAAGCGAAACTAAATGCACTTATCGTTTGAGCCACTGTCTAGTGAGCTTAAAGTTGTGCATCACGGTTGTTCACTCTTCGACAAAATGGAAGTGGTCTGACTTGATCAGGAACTTCTGTCCGATCCTAAAGGCATGGGTGTCCATGTTTTGGGCAGCTGTTGTCGCTCCCTACAGAGGGCTCTCGGTTGCAACGTAATAATCATGCAGATAAATAGAATGACGGCGTCGAACCGAAACTGTGAGTATGCCAGATTATACGTTGTCGCCACCGCAACCAAGGAGTCGTCAGCTGCGTATTGGATCAGCCTCTGTGGGTGAAGAGAACGTTACGGTAATAAGAAGCGATCGAACGAAACGCAGCACATTGAAAAAAATCATTATGTCATCCTGTCCAATTCGTATTATGAGTGTTGTCACAGCATTTATAGCTTCGATAGGTAAAACTTCTATTTCAATGCGTCAACAGTAGAATAAGCGGTCTTTTTTGAATGCCTAATCGAAGGACATTGTGCAACGCTGCAATATACGAATGACTCGGCAACGAAACTGTACACAAAGTTAAACGTGAAAGCGTTATCTCTTTTTGTAGAGCTCATTTCAGAAACATGTAAAGCGAAAGTACGTTTAGAGAGAGAGAGACAGAGGGAGAAACGGAGGGAGAGAGAGAGTGCAAATTCGTAGTTAGGGAAAGTTCTAAGTACTTTTTAAGGCGCCAATACTTTAGCTGGAAACTAAGCCTATCTGATGGTTGTTGTTTTTTTTCTGAAACGTGCAAAAAGTTTACATTCTACTATCAAAAGCTTAGCCTTCTATCGGGTATGTATGTAAGTGCTCCGATAATTGTTACCTTTTTGCATATTAGTATGGCACAAACATGCTATTGGCTTGTTAAGATATCAAGGCCGTTGGCGGAACGCAACAACCGTTTGCAATCGCCCGCCATTATTGGCCTGTCTCACGAATCAATGGTAACGATCGGATTGTTTTTAAACAAGCAGTGAATTAGAAGCTACCTACGCTCTCGCTATGGGAAACGAAATACCTTGTTGTATGCATCAGATTTCCTGATATCCAGTTACTAATGGCTTATGTTTATAACACGATATGGTTAAAAATGCATCGTTTACCTTGGGTCTTTTTGCTCAACTGTGCTGAAAAGAAAGTGATAGGCCGTTCTAACAGTGACTGGTGATTTTTGTCTCTGATCAGAAAATCGATTATGTTCTATTTTATCAATTTATTATCCGAGAATTACGGGATACAGAAACTAAATAGGCTGTAAAATGTGTTATGCTTTATAGAAGAAGCAAATCTACTACGACTATGAGTGATCAATTAGTAATGAAGATTGAGTCGAAACTAAGCCGGCGGCTACGGTTACGATGCTAATGACAACGAGTCAAAAATAACCCGCGCAAATAAGACCCACTCAGAACAAGGCAGCTTTTTCTACATAATGTAACAAATAAGCACGCGCTATAGCAAACTATCAGCTCGTAAATGGTACCCTACGGACTCAATGGAGGCGAGTCCTCGAATTTTTTGAAGACGCACTGTGATGAGTGATGTGATTCTAGCAACAGGGCCCACACAGTGGACAAAACCATAATATGGCTTTGGCGTTCTTGACAGCCATATTAAACACTGCAGTAGGCTCTGTTAAACATAATATCCAGCTACAGTGTGGCATAAAGTGCCAACTCTCCAGTATATGATTATACTGAAAACTTTCTTCCTTTCTTGCTGTTTTAACATAAAGGCAGACGAAGAAAGATAGCGTATAATTTGCCTAAATGTTAGACCAGCGATGATGCTTCTTACGTAGGGTAACGGAGTAGTAACCACCAGGTGAGGCTTATAGTTAAAGAGAAAGGAATCCCAAAATTAGGTTTTCAATTGAATAAAGCAGGCGAACCTTTTAAACAGACGCAATTTCTAGTGCACGCCTATTCCCTTTCTAGCATTCATCATTTTAGGCATATATTTTTGTGTCTTATTCTACTGTAGACCTAAGTTTTCACAACTCTGCGCCTTGTCTACGATTAGAAGTTAATACATATAATAAGTTTAATTCTATTAACAATTATCATTTTCTTTATGATATGTTAGATGACTAAGGTGGGTTTATGACTACTTTCAATCCTATGGATCCATTGAAGAACACTGAAATAAGTCCCACAGCATCCCTTAAGATAGAATAAAACCTGTCAAATAAGAGAGATTAAGAGTCATCTTGGAAAACTTGATAGTTCGTTTAAGTAGATGTTTTGTTCCACACCTGTTTTTCAACAGGCTGGTAGACTAAGGTAATTTTCTTACATGGGAATGTTATTATGTCCGAGTGTAAAAACATTTTTAGCTTAAATGCCGTCAAAACCACTACATTATTCTTGTCTATGTGAGACGTTTAGGCATTGGACTATTTGAAAACGAAGCATAGGAGGCGTCACTTGAAATGGAAGACGAGCTTAACCCTGATCCGAACTGTCTCTGTCATGGTGAGATAACATTGACTATTCAAAACCTGATAAGAACTGTTGATCATTGTTGCCGTTGCTTATTTATATATTCTTACTACTTATTCTTCCAGTCACTCGCAACTCGAACAGAACTCGAAATTCTGCTCATTTTGTCTTTGAACTTTTCAACTTATTAACTCTAGTATATTGTCCATAGTTGTTTTGCTATTTAATTTCCACAGGGGTATAAACCTGTTTGTAATCGAAATTCAATCTGACAAATAGGTACTTTGAAATCAGCTGCGCATTATTTCCTAAGCGTCCCTATTTTCTAGGAAAATATTGACTTCTTCGAGGACTCGCCTCCAAAGGTAGGTTTATCAAGGGCAGGACAAGTCATATTTGGACTATTTAGAACTTAAACGTTTGCAGAGCAATGATAATAATAATAATAATTCTGTATTCTTAGCATACAACAACTCATAGATCTTTGTTAGCTTTTTCGAGCGTAGCATATAAACAAAAATTCTAACGTAAATTTTGTATGGTGACCTCTAATATTAATTTTATCCGATACACTTGTCGTATACGGAACATATACAGACTTGTAACCTTGTCACTTGAAGGAGCATTAATGAGAAACACTGAGATACATTTTTATCCTTACTTATTTGGCAACTATTTCTGATAATACCTTGCTTTGCAGGCTGATTTCACAGTGGACTTGAGTCAGGTAAGTGCTGCTGTCATGTAGATGCTAGTAGGCCCACCGCAGTGAACGTCACGGAAGAGACGACATACTCCTTTCGAAAGAATCAGTTACTATCGTTGAAACACGTGAAAACGATAGTTCCCCGTTGTGCCTGTTTACGAGAGGAGCACCTAAGTGTGAAATTCTATCACCTCGTGTTTGTACGTAACCGCACATTGTGAGGCACAGTGCTTTCAGAGAATTTATTTTAGGTATAAAGCTTTCACAGTGAGTGGGGACAGCAATCGTTTTAGTGGCAAACCCAGATTCGAAAATTCATTTGTTTCCTCAACAGAACGATTTACGGCAATAAAAAAAACTGCACTCGTAGAAGTAGTCTCTGACAATGACCGGTTATTTGCCCATTAACAGTTATTTTTAACCTGCTAATTATCACTTTTACTTGTGTGAATATTTTGCATAATTGACTATTGGTACTGCGAATGCGAATGACACCGTTAAGTTCCAGCAGAACGGAGTCCCGACTACACAACCTCCCCTCACTTCGCACCCACTTTCGGAGAACGGTGGCCTCTCGTGGCCGTCGCCTTATTGCGATCTAACGGCCTTCGATTCCCTCTTTTGAAACTGTATCAAAACTAAAGTTTATATGATAAGGCGAATAACTACCGATCCACTGAAAGCCAAAATTCAAACGGCACTCGAGTCGATCGCTATATGCTTTAAGCTATCATTGAAACAATAAGGCACTCGTCCTCTCCTATCGTCTTGGGGCAATCTGAAAGTCATTAGCTCAGACTGGGTTTCATCGTCAGACGACGATAGCCAACACGAAACTGAAATAAAACCCAACTCAATCTGCTCGCTCTGTATGTACAACTAAATATAGTGGAATATTGGTACACCCTGACGATTTAAGTGTTTCTATCCATCTTAATACAAGAAGCGCCACTTAACTGGTTTTTGCAAATAAAGCCTTTTCATTATTTACCTAATTTGATGAAATCTGTTTACATGGATGGATATATAATAATATGTTAGAAAATTCATCTGCTTGTATGTAGATGCATGTGTCGACTTGAAAGCTCATTGATCTGAAATTTATGAAATGTACCTTTTGCGACTTCATCGTATTAAATATTCTGTGTGATATAACTGGCAATTTAAGTATTACTATACTTATTCTTTTTATGGGTTGTGCAATTTTCAGGTGTTCCGTGAGCTAGAGACTTCAATCCAGGTACAGCGGCGTAGTATGCATATAAGATAATTGTTTCTACCTGCGGGTAAATCAAGCTTTTTGATTTAAAAGTAACCAGTGCTAGAGTGTGAAAAATAATGGCTTCTTCTACTTCTTCGGCTTCAAATTTATTTTCAGGACACTATCGAAATCTCGTCAATTTCATCTGATGTAAGTTTAAACCTGTAGCAGATAGAACGCGTTCGCAAGATGTTATATGGAATCAAAACATTTTTATACTCAAGCCCCATAATTTATTGCCATGGACGAGGTATCTCTTTTAGTAAGGACAGAAACGACGGTCGTAGTTTCTACTACTGACTCGTCGACGCTGGGACAACATTTCACAGCGTAGATGACCGTTTTATACTGATGACCCTTATACTAATACAGTTCTGGTTATACCTCTGCACTGGCGCGCTTCACCTAACGATTTAAGCATTTACAACAAGCCTGTCACAGCGCTATAACATTGTGTGCCCTTGCTTTCGAAAAACCTCGACGCATCGACTTGTTGAAACAGCTTCAAGGCAATTCTAATTGGTCAGTTTTGAAAAACATTCGATATTAGGTAAAAAGGTGTCAGGACCGTAGGTATTGATTTTACGCTACCAATCAGCTATATGTTATACAGTAGGATGGGTTCCGTATAGTTTGCAGTCGAAGAATAGATTAAGTAAAACACTTTCTGGAAATGGCGTAAACCAACTCAGTTCGGACACCTGTCGTTTAGTCATAATTGTTCGCGTGTGCTTTTCATTCAGGATGAACAGGATGTACCCGCAAATGAGCTGCTCATCACTGATTCCCCTATTAAGTCTTCCGCGGAGGTACAGCCAAATACAGTGGCACATGGTTCCGAGTTAGTCAAGTGTCATCATAATCCGTTATCTCAGGTACTTATACTGCCTGATCCAACGGAGTCAAGACGTTGTATTGAGTGCTTTCGCGTTAGGCTCCTCGAATTTGACATCTGTGTTGACTTATTGAAAGATCTTAAAGCCTTTAGTTTCCTAGTTGAGTCAACCCCACAGTTCTGCCAACTGCTGGCAATATTTACGCCATACGAAGCAAGAGTCCTTCTTGAGTTACTCGTCAACGGCGACTATAATAACAACGGCGCGGGCTCTAGCGTTTCTTCTCCACTGATCCACACCGCAACACGGTTACTCAAGCAGCTATTTTCTCTGGGGGCGCCTTGCGTAACGCCTAGTTTAATTACAACAGTTCTTCGAAACTCATCCTGCATAAAACCCGCTAGCCGGACCGAGCTTTTAACAGCCGTCCGTCAGTGGATAAAGTTGGCTCCTGAAAACGCTATTGGCGTGCAAAAGGACGCGGCATGCTTACTTGACGATGAATCATTTGAAGACTTTTCCCGTCCTTGGATACCTGCCACAGTCAGTGCTTTCGCTGTACTGACAGATATCATTGAGCACTCTAGGACAGATCGAGCGACCTTAAAGCGATATGTTGATCTATCCTTAGATATACTTGCAAGGGTAAACCTCAGCCAGGTTGACACATTAAATTCATCGAACGTAGGAGGTATGGCAATTCGGGGTTTATCAGTAGTAGCTTCAAGCCAACCCCAATGTTTATTCGAGCCTGCTAGTTCGGTTTTAGTGAAGTTATTCGAAAAACTGCACGCTTTTAGCCAACCTGCTGTATTCTATCTGTGTGGATTACTTACGACGGCAGTTAAGACGTACGGGACGGCGACGCCAATCGTTGCGCGAACATCTTTTGATTGTTTTCTTGGCGATTCAATAAAAAACAGCCCACCCCTAGATGTATTAATCACCATTATTGACTGTCTGGTAGGTCATATTGAAAGATACCAACTCTGACATTTGTATTTATTATATTAAAAAAAGTTTAGTGAGTGCATGAAAGAAGAAAAAATGTGATACTTACGAGATGCTTCTGCTGCAACAGAATATTGTATGTTGCGTAAAGTAGCCACAAGTTAACCCCGCATTTCTTCTTCAGCCTGCTTCCATAACGAGCAGCATTTCTGCTCATCGTGTCTCTCAGATTTAATGTATATATCTTATGTGTTTATCCATCACATTGATTTTTTTTTATTAAACTACCTCACCGAGTTGTCTATGCGCAGATAGCTCTTGGGGAATCTTCAGATTTCTTCGTTTGCGTGAGTATCTCGTGGATACTCGACCCGCTTATTGGACTGCTCGACACCCGTCGGCATTATCTGGATAGTCCCGATAATAGGATGTTATTCTGTAAAATATACGAGCTAATTGCGATAATCTGTTCCACCAAAGTAAGTTCGCCACACATTGCGAGGCCAACCAACTTACCAAGTAACATATATTGAGAGCCGATAGGTATTGTTAGCCGCGAAGAAAGCCTTAAAGTTCCTTTACTTTAGATTTCCCGAAAAAAAACCCCCTAACACTAATCTTGTTAATAATAACTATATTATAAAATATTCTTATAAACGCATGTGATCCCGTTACATTGGACAGTGCTCGACTCGTCGTGTGAGCTGAGATTTTTTTAACCGCTAGTAAATTTTGGTTGAAGGATGCAGCACAGAAGTAGGACGCTTTGAACACTAGTTTTTCTTCACCGAGACCATTCAACTTACTTTATAATGTAACACAATGCAGTTCCCTGTTGCCACTGAACTTATAAAAGTTGAAAGCTCTGTTCGTTGTTACAGTGTTCTATTATAATAGCAGACCTTTCCCATTCGATTCAAAGCAAATATTGCATCTGTCTTGAACACAATTATAAAATTTGAATTGTTCCAGAATCTGAAAAATATCGAGGGTCTCTCACTCCTCAAGTTGTACAAACACGCAGGCGAACGATATGAAGATCCTGATTTACGGCATGGTATTGTGAAAATGTTTTTTTCGCTTCTTTGCCGCGCATGGCCGCGAACCGCGTCCATGGAAAGTTGCTTAAACGCCATGTGCTCGAGTATCGCGTCTCATGAAGACGGTCGAACCAGCCTACAGGAACTGCTGAAGTCATCGTATCTATTTATCGATCTAGTTAGGAAAACCCAAATGCCCTTAATTCATAGTTCGTCATCAACCAGTTTAGATCAGACCGGCACTCCTGGGAGAGTTCTAAGTCCTCCGAAGTGTGCTCACTACTTTATAACTCAATGCCTACCGGTATTAATGCAGAAAGCGGCCCCAACAATATTTGATGACCCGGAAATCGGTAAACGCATGTTGAAGCTTTTAACTAAAGTCCTGCAAGTCATACTTACATTCAGTCTTCCGCCGGATGCACGCGACTTGACAATTGAATGTTTACGTCAGATCAAACGTCTTGTCAATATCCGTGAAACTGAAGGGAAAAAACTATTATTTTTGTTCATCTTGACAAGTGACAACGATATTTCGGAAGAGACGTTTTATGAGATTCAGGCCGGATTGACGACCCTTCTTGAAGAAGGATCATGTTCCCTGAACTCTGAGTACTGTGGCCTAATGCTCTATGGTCTAGTGAAAAGTGAGGATGCTACCTTTGATGAACTTAATGCTCTCATTTCTCGGATCTTGGAAACATTCGGACAGTGGAGACCTACATTTCAACGAAACGGTTTTCGACTTTTGCTAAAACTTTTAACAAATCAGTATACTGAAGAAGTTATGGAAAACAGAACGATAAATGCCCTCTCTGAATTAGTGACTGCCATAAAAACGGAAACAATCGAATTATTAGCATCAGACTTCATGGAAAACGTTGAGCTGCTAAGCGTAGTTATCTCCCATGAGCGTCTAGGCAGATTTGCTGTGCATGCGGTCCTTATGGCATGCAAGCGTGAGAAAATGTCGTTCGTTGTAAACGTGCTGATAGCATCTCTCCGAGGGACAGAGTGCTTCGCACGCTATTTGACAACATTGGAGGCATCGGAAATATTTCACGATAACCAAGCAAGGCTTTCTATAATCTGTGAATTAATCCACAAGGTGGTCGGAAGCTCTCCGAGTATTTACTGGCGTTTCAACCCGGTCATGAAATGCGCCTTACTACTTATGGATATGCAATCTGCAGTAATAGACTTAGATAAGATTAGAATTCGCATATTGTTACAATTAAGCATTGCGGCTGTTACTGCTGTGTCGATAATTCCGTCGATTGGTATTGATCTCGATTCTAGCGACGCCTCTCTACATTCCAAATTTATTTGTACTGCAAGCACCTTTTACAGCTCAACAGAAGCTCTGCAGGAAATCCTAATCATTATCTGCCTTATCCTACAGAAGTCATTCAGCCCAGAACGGGATAAGTTGGATGCAATTATTAGCAAAAAAGACACCTTCCTTCAAAAAGCAGTAGAGCTACATTTTCCATTAGTTCTGCAGTTGCTCCTAACGTTAAGACTTGACCGCTTTGATTTCACAAATGTGAAGCTTTCCGGCCCAAGACTACAAAACATGGTGCTAGATCCCGCGTTCCCTCCACATCAGAGATTACTCGCTATACAGGTTAGGGTTTATGTAATCTTACTAACTTGTTTTGTGTCTGAAGGAACGCTAGACAAATATTTCATATTGAAAAACGTTAGCGCATTTTTTGAGAATGGACATCCAGATGACTAAGCTACCGAAAGGTTACTTCGACAGCTCCTAATGGTCTTCCTGTGCGAGCTAATTCGCTTGTATGAAATCGTCAAGGTTTGTTGCAGTCTAGCTGAATTAATAGAAATAAAAAAAAAACGATTATGCCCAACAGAAATAAGGATATCATCAGGCCATAATTTTTATTGACTGTTACAGGTTCTGACGGCCGCTTACGAAGCGAGCAACGATCGACAGTTTCCCCAATTAGAGCCTTCACTTTCCGTAGAAAATCTGCAGCGTACTGCACATACACTTCTCCTCTCCCCGGCATTCGAAGAGGCCGGTTTTGCTTTGTGGAAGGCCATTAAAGGTGAGGCCATTAGTATACTGACGATACGATTGCAAGTCGAATTGGAAAGCAGTAACGATAATGAAGCAGGTGACAAAAGTTCCGAGGGTCCGCCCCATTCCTGCTGTCCTTTACGGCTCGATATTACGCGTCAACTGGAGCAATATTTACCGCCCTCTGAATATATTCCGAAGACATTGGCAGCTTTGTTACAAGCTTGCCGCAATCTACGTCTTGATGGGTATTAAAGTGTGTATTACATATATTATATATATATATATATCATATGTGATAGACTTTTAAAATTGACAACTA